GGCCCCTGCTCAGCCTGCTTTCTTATGCTACATAGGCCCACCTGCCCAGGGGTGGCACCACCCACAGTGGGCTGGGCCCTCCCACATCACTCATCAAGAAGATGCTCCACAGACATGGCCACAGGCCAGTCCAATAGAGGAAATTCCCCAATTGAGGCTCCCTCAACCCAGGTGTGTCAAGTTGACACTAAAGCTATCCAGCACAGCTTCACATCTGGGGACTGGAGTGGTGCTTCAATGGCTAAGAGTGCTTGCTTAAGCCAGAAAAACCCCCAACATAGACGTGAAAAAGTGGGTAAGAAACTCTAACCCCACCTAATAAGGAAATTGGGGCAACAGATGTCTTCTGGGAGGGGCAGAGACAGTCTCTTTCAAGCATGATATTTTTGGTAAGTTAACCATGTTCCCCTGGATGGATGCACACTCAAGAACATTTGAGGACAGAAATTAGACTCTATAGGCCTTATTTTTCATATAACAGATACATTAAACTGGGTGGTGGGCAGTAAGAGAAGGTGCAGCTAAGGGAGGGGATCTAAATACCATCAAATTATATTGCATGAAAATCGAAAATCACAAAAATTCAATAAAAATTTTACAAATTTAAAATAAAATAAAAAATATTCTGATCATTTTATTTGACTATACTTTCCTGTTGTGTGTTTAAGATCATGAAGGTGACCAGAATTAAATATTTTATTTTTCACTGTCTTTGTCATTTGATAGGATGAGTCAAAATCTTGCTAATTATGTTGCTTCCCTTGGTAGTATTGAGGACATTTCCCTCAGTGTTTATTCTCCTCTTGGAAGAATGTACACTGGTTTGAGTCTAACCTCTGAGTCTCCATGGCCTCTTCGATGAAGAGGACAGGTGATTTATTAGACTGGTAGAGCTCCATGAGAAGTATCCTACAGTCCCTTGTGACTCGGTTATCCTTGGAAGGAAAGAGCCAAAATATCCTTAGTCCCTTTGTCCACATTGGCATAGGCCTCTAACTAGAGTTACTGAACACACAGAAAGTCAGTTATACCAGCACTGCATAGTAAATTGTGTTTTAAAATTCAGTTGTTTTATAACATTTAGATTAAGGTCAAATAGAAAACCAAACAGTTTCGACCATCTTATTAAAGGAGAGTTGAGGGGGTTGGAGAGATGGCTCACTTGTTAAGAGCATTGACTGCTCATCTAGAAGACCTGGCTTTGGTTCCCAGCACCCACATAGTGGCTAACAACCATCCACGACTCCAGTTCCAGGGGATCTGACACCCTCTTCCAGCCTCCACAGGCAATGCATGACACAGGTGCACTTACGTATATGCAGGTAAAACACTCATACACATAAAATACAAATAAATAAATAAAAATTTTAAAAAAGAGTTGAGCCCAAATTCCATACATGCATAATACAACCAATCTGGATTATGTCTACACATACAGTGAAGCTCTATATTGTAAGTTCCAAGGCAAACTTCATTACCATTTGGATACAACAAACTGAGCTATATTATGAATAACAAGAGATGGAAAACAATATTTTAAGTGAGTGCTTATACTTCTGAGTAATTTTTTTATCCAGGAACCAGACAGAATATTAGAATGGGAGCACTTGATTTTGAAGGGCCACTCTTTGATACTTTAAATTTTATAAGATCATGGATCAAGGCAACAGGAGTGTCTGCCTTTACAAATGTCTAATGAGATCCTCTCCAGCTAGACTTGGGGATGTTCAACTGTGTTGGGAGCTGTTAGTCTATTATGTACATTGAGCTGTGGCAGGCTTGTTTACTGAGTTTGTGTTATGCACACCCGTACCTAATCTGCCTAATCAGGAGGAATGTGTTTCCCTAATTTGCCTAATCAGGAGGAATGTGTTTCCCTAATTTGCCTAATCAGGAGGAATGTGTTTCCCTAATTTGCCTAATCAGGAGGAATGTGTTTCCCTAATTTGCCTAATCAGGAGGAATGTGTTTCCCTAATTTGCCTAATCAGGAGGAATGTGTTTCCCTAATTTGCCTAATCAGGAGGAATGTGTTTATATGGATAGCCTCACAATACCTGACCTGGAGGCAATAGTGGTAAACAAAAAGATCAAAGAAGTCTTTGAAGTATTTGACTGCTCCTTGACCCTCAGATACAGGTGGGAAAAACAGCTGTTAATACGAATTGAGTCTTCTGTATAAAAAGGCAGAGTGGAAATAAACTGGGGCTGCAGTCACTACTGTCAACCCTCCCAAGCATCTTTTCTGTCTCTTGTTTTTTCTTTCAATCCTCACTCCCCCTTTCAGGTACTGTCCGTCTTGGCTGGCTGGCACTGGCACAACTGCTTGAAATGTCACTCACAGTTAGCATGCATTTCCAAGGGGAAGCTGACATCTGAAGAATTTAAGGAGTGCCCTCCCTCCTAAAAAACAAAGTTGTAGGACAATATAGTATTCTGATTGATCCCCCCCCATGGCCATTTTTTATACTCCAGTTTATATTTGGGCCACATTCAAGTACAGAAAAATATCAAGTTCTTCTTTACTTCATTTTTAATGAAAATGTATGTTATGTTACAAAGCACATTGGTCTGCTAGGTGAGTGATATATGTAACACATATGATGTTAAATGTTAAGAATTAAAAGTTAATGTTAGGTAATGAATTGGAACAAGCTGTTTTGAAATTTCTTTCAGAGGAAAATGATTACTTTGAAAACTCAATGTCCAACCTTGATGGCAGACACCTTCAATTTCAGCAGCTGGGTGGCAGAAGCAGCTGCATATCTGTGAGACTGAGGCAAGTCTGATCTATATTGAGTTCCAGGTCAGCTGGAGCTACAGGGAGACCCTGTGTCAAAAAACCCCCAAAACCCCAAAACCAAAAAACAAACCCATAAGGTACTCTGGTTTTCTTTCAGAAGAGATTCATAAACAAATTTAAACACATGTATAGAACTCATTTTCCTAATCTGTATAGTTTTGCTTTGGGTACAGAATATTTGACCATGCCAGCATTCTAAATGTTGTAGAAAAATGAAGTGAAGTAGTAAGATATTATATGTATAGTTAACTAGCAAAATGGAGGAAGAAGGAGATAACAGGTCAGAATTACTGGGTAGACAGCAATAGCTGAAAATACATAAATATTTTATCTCCATATACAACATACAACAAAGCAACGAAGAAACGTGATTGAACATGGTGGCATATACTAGTATCATTTGTTATATGAATTCCTTAGGGACTAAAATGTATATGCCTATCATTAGTCAACATTATTTTACAGTTTCTATAAGAAAAAGAAGACTGACTGTTATGTTTGAATTGCATAAATAATATTTGAATTTAATTCATGAATAGGCATATTTCTATCATTTTAGATGTTCATAAAGTGACTGCCCCAATTGAGAACAGCCAGTTAAATCACAAGAGATATTTTTCGCAAGTTGGGCTGACCAAAAGCAGGAATTCAAATGAAGAGATTTTTAGAGTAAGTAAAGCATTTATTTTGAGGTCTTAACATATTTCAAATTGGAACATAAATATTGGAATATGGTTCTGGTGAGATGGCTTTTGGCAAAATGATTGCCATGCAAGAATGAGGAACTTATCTGAATCCCCACCATACTTTGTGAAAAACAGGGTATCCATAATCCCAGTGCTGTGAAGATTAGAGTAGTGGATTCCTGGGGCATCTTGGCCAGCCAGGGTTTCCAAACTGACAAGCTTTACGTTTAATGAAAGACTGTCTCAAAAATAATGTGGAGAGCATTTGAAGAAGAAACCTGATGTTGACCTCCCTCCTGATATACAGTTGCATGTACCTATGCATACACATGTACACAAAGAGGAGCATATATACATAAACAACATTCTTCCCAAATGAATACAACCCCATAGTTTGATGACCCTGAAAGGCAGAATGAAGAACCCTGTAATTTTAATGTAACTGATAAACCGTCCTGTCATCCTGAGCATCCTAATAGTTATTACAATAATCACAGTTGGCAATCCTTTTTTGGAGGGGGGGGCGAAGAAAAGGGTTTACTTGGCTTACATCTCCTAGGTTATAGTTTATTACTGAAGGAACTCGGGCAGGAACCTGGGGGCAGGAGCTGAAGCACAGGCTACGGAGGAATGCTGCTTACTGGCTTGCTTCCCTGGTCCATGCTCAACCTACTTTCTTTCTTTTCTTTTCTTTTTTTAAGGATATTTTTATTATTCCAAAAAGAGGCAAATTTTAACACATTTTTTTCCAGAAATAACTTGAAGCAGGTTACATAAAAAAATATATAAAATGAAGTTTAAATGTGGAAAAGTAGGGATAAGAAATTAAAGACTACAGCCAGACATGGTGGTACATGTCCTCAGTCCCAGCACCCAGGAGGCAGAGTTGGCAATATTTTTTCTGTGTGTTTGTCTTTACTTTTTAATCACACATTCTTTCTGACCATGTGAAGAATTGCTTGCAAGAATGCCTGCAAATCTGTCTCTCGAAGGCCATGAAGTGGTTTGCTAAATTGCATTACTTTATTCATGTAACAAGCCCATGGAGCGTAATGGATCTGTAGAGTTCCAATCATCTTCAGTTCTGGGGAAGTTCAGTGGTCATTGCCTCTATCACACAATGATATTTTGAATATATTTGACCAGCAATAGCATTCTTAACAGAGGCAGTATTATTGATATATGAATAACAGATGTTAAAGGTATCACTAGAAAAATCTTTGAATGCCAAAAATACATTGTACATAAATCTTGTATGGTTCCAGACATGGTTCTTTTAAAGAATGAAAGTATTGATGAATACAAGGTATATTGAATAATGTTGTTTAAGTAAACTAAACTCTGCCTGCATATGTTGCATTTACATACATGCAGGTAAAACACTCATACACAGAAAATAAAAAAAACTGTAAAAGAAAACTAAACTCAGTAACTGACAAATATTTATAGATATGAGTAAAAGATAGATGTGATTGTATAAGTATTTCACTAAGAAATAATACCTGAAAAAATCAGGAAACAGGTAATCTGACAAATTCATATTTGATTTGTATATGAAATGTAACCAATTGTTTTATCTCAAGGCAGAAGCAAAGGTGCAACAAAATATCCACCTCAGCAGAAAATCCTATGAAGGCAAAGCATGTACGAAGATGTGTTACCAAAAGTCATGGCAAAGTAGTAATCAAATGTCTCTCTCATGCAAGAAAGTTTTGTATTTCAAGTCATTTCTCACTAACCATCAGAAATTTCATACAGGGGAGATGACTGAGTGTAAAACGTGTAAGAAAACTTTATCATGGCAATCACATCTCACTGTACATAACAAAAATTCTGCAAGTGAAAAGCCATATGAATGGCCAGAATGTGAGAAAGCTTTCTACAGCAAGTCACACCTCACTGTACACCAGAGAATTCATACTGGGAAGAATACCTATGAATGTATAGAATGTGGGAAAGTGTTTTCATACAAATCACAACTCATTTCACATCAGAGAATTCATACAGGAGAGAAGCTATATGGATGTACAGAATGTGGGAGAACATACAGCTTCAAGTCAATGCTCAGAGTACAACAAAGAACTCATACAGATGTGAAGCTGTATGAATGTACTGAATGTGGGAAGTGTTTCTGCCAAAAGTCACACCTCACTGATCATCAAAGGACTCATACAAAAGAGAAGTCTTATGAATGTACAGAATGTGGGAAGGCTTTTTACAACAAGTCACATCTCATTCTACATCAGATAGTTCATACAGGGAAAAATCCCTATGAATGTATAGGATGTGGGAAAGCATTCTCTTACAAATCACAACTCACATTACATCAGAGAATTCACACAGGAGAGAAGCCTTATGAATGTATAGATTGTGGGAAAGCATTTCCATACAAATCACAACTCAGTTTACATCAGTCTTCATACAGGAGATAAGCCTATGAATGTATAGAATGTGGGAAAGCATTTTCATGCAAATTACAACTCACTTTACATCAAAGAACTCTTATAGGTGTGAAGCCATATGACTGTACAGAATGTGGGAAGTCTTTCTGCTGGAAGTCACACCTCACTGACCACCAGAGGTCTCATACAGGAGAAAAACATTATGAATGTACAGACTGTGGGAAAGGTTTCTACTTTAAGTCACATCTCACTGATCATCACAGAACTCATACAGGACAGAAGCCCTTTGAATGCATAGAATGTGGGAAAACATACTCATACAAATCAAAACTCACTGTACATATGAGAATTCACACAGGAGAGAGGCCTTATGGATGCACAGAATGTGGGAAATCTTTCTATGAGAAGGCACAACTCATTGTACATCGGAGAACTCATACAGGAGAGAAGCCCTATGAGTGCACAGAATGTGGGAAGTCTTTCTACCAAAAGTCAGACCTCACTGTTCATCACAGAATTCATACTGCAGAGAAGCCCTATCAGTGTACAGAATGTGGGAAGTCTTTCTGCTGAAAGTCAGACCTCACTATTCATAAGAGAATTCATTCAGGAGAGAAGCCTTATGAATGCACAGAATGGGAAATCTTTCTCTCGCAAGTCATACCTTACTAGACATCAGACAACTCACATAAGTGGCAAGTCTTTTGATGGTATGCTGGAAAGCTAACTTCCAGAAGTAAAACTTTATATCAAAACATTCATACAGGCAAGAAGCCTTATGAAGTCATATAATAGAACATAACTTTCCATTCCAAGTCTCCACTCAGGCTGCATCAAAGAATTTTCTCCCTGAGACTCACTAAGGAACATCTCTAAGTTCCCACTGAAAAAGGGATATTTAATTCCACCAAAGTTCCTGCTGGTGAACCAGTGAGTTTATTAGGCTTATTGAATAGTGGGCGAGGGGTTACTGACTAGTGTATGGGTGACCCTAAACCAGCCACAGAAGAAAGTGTTTGGCCCTGCATGGATGCTGGCTTTTCCATAACTTCCTCTTTTCCTAGTCTTCTCCAGCCTATATAATCTACCTCCTCTATGGGAGAATTGCATAGAGTTACCTGGGAGGAGTGCCTGGATGGGTATTCATATGTGGGTCTGTTGACCTTCCCTCAGTCTCAAGGCATATCTCATTCAATGTCAGATGTTTCATAGAGGTGAGAAGCCCTGTTAATGGACAAAGGATGGAGTCACATAGCACCCTCAGGAAACTCATGCGCTTGAGCATCCCTTTCAAAATAAAGAATGTGGAAAAAAGTGTTGGTTTAAATAAGAAATGTCCTCAGTAGCCTCATATATTAGAACACTTGTTCCCCAGGACATGGCACGTTGGTTGCAGGGTTTGAAATCTTGCTGGAGGAAGTATGTCACAAGAAGGGGATGGCTTTGAGGTTTTATATCCTCACCACACTTCATGATTGCTATATTCTTTTGTCTCTGTGTGTGATAAAAATTTCATCTCAAATTCCTGCTTTTGCCATGTATTCTCAAGCCTTCTCCACCATTATGGATTCTAACCCTTTGGAACCATAGGCAAAATAAACTTTGTTCCTTAAGGTTTTTTTTTTTTTCTTCCTTGGTATCTTGTCAAACAACAGAAAAGTAGCTAAAACAGAAGTAGACACTAAGAAGTGAGGTATTGCTCTGAAGAACCTATGTTGAATATTATGGAGGACTTTGAAAGTTTGAACTAGAAAAGCCATTGTATTGTGTAAGCAGAGTATAGAGACATTCAGTGGAAGACAATGGTTATGAGTAACTCACAGTGAAGGGATGGCTCATGAGATTCCAGAAGGAAACAAAGACACCATTAGCAACTGGGCAAGAGACCATCTGTCCAATTTCTTTTGGTTTCTTCTCTCTCTCTCTCTCTCTCTCTCTCTCTCTCTCTCTCTCTCTCTCTCTCTGAGACAGGGTGTCCTTGTAGGCACAAATAACCTAGAACTCACTATGTAGACAAGGCTGGTCTTGATCTCAAAGAGACCCTGCCTGCCTCTGCATCTGAAATTCTGGGATTAAAGGCATGTGTCACCACACCTGGCTTGTGTAATATCTTAACAAAGGATCTGGATGCCTTCTTCCCATGTCCTAAAATTTTATGTGAGGTGGAATTAAAAGGTAATAGACTGATTTCTTTGGCAGGGGAAATTTCAAGATAGCATAATGTTGAATCAGTAAAATGTTATGACTGATTTTTCTCATGCCAATCTACAACAAAAGGTAAGAACTGACAGAAATACAAAATGTGCAGTTTGGAGAGGGGTGTGTTGAGAAGAAGGCTGTTATTCTTAATGAGATTTATGCTATTTAAAAAAAATGCCTCCTGGGGCTGGGGTGATGGCTTAGTGGTTAAGAGCACTGACTGGTCTTGCAGAGGTGCTCTTCCCAGCACCCACATGGCAGCTATGAACTGTCCTTAACTTCAGTTCCAGGGGAATCCAAAGCCCTCTTCTGACCTCCACAGCATTGCACGACATGGGTGCACTCACATACACACAGGCAATACACTCACTCATACACATAAAATAAAAATAATAAAATATTTTTTTAAAAAGCCTCCTGATCTACATTTGAATAGAATGGGTTCCTAGAGGACAAGTTCCTGCCCAGGTAAGCTTCCAACTTCCGGAATGCAAATACTTGAGTTTTCTGCTCCTAGAAAATGGGAGGATCCAAAGCTGCTTATAATATGTACCAAGGAGTCCAGGCTTCATCCCAAGCTGGCAGTCTTATTTGGCAGTGTACTTAGTGCATATGATGTTGGATTTAGAGACTGAAAGATGCTAGAGTGAGAGGGTCCTTGATATTTTGTCCCAGGATTTCAGAGACCTGCTGTGGGCAGTTAACATAGCATGCCTGTACTTTGAAGGAGACCATTAGCAGATCTTGTATGAATCTATGATCAGGGCCCTGTCCATGCCAGTCATCTTCTCTACCAAAGAACTGTACCAACTTGGTTTTCATTTTATTTGATTTTTTTTGTTTTTGAGACAGGGTTTCTTTGTAACTCCAGTTGGCCTAAAACTCATTATGAAGACCAGGCTGGCCACGGTCTCACAGAGCTCTACCTACCTTTACCTCCTGAGTGCTGGGTGGCATGTGCCACCATACCCAGCTTTCATTTCATGTATTTGAGACAGAGATGTCCATGAACTCACTTGGTAGCCCAGACTGGTCTGGAACTTGGGATCTTTCCTTTGGCCTGTTTCCTGAGCAGGTGTAATTATAGGACTGAACCACCATGCCTGACTTGAAAGTGAGATTTGAACCCAGGTCTAGGCTCCCTCCCATTTGACCTTAACAGGCCACTGAGGAAGGATACCCACAGAGAGGGCAGCCAGGAGTGAGGCATCTGCACACAGCTGCTGTAGGAATTCTGCATTTCAAGTTAAATATGTACCGATGTGGAGTCCCAGCCAGCCAAAGCCCCTTCCCAGGACAGGGTTGCACACTACTTTCAGTGTCTGAGACAGCCCATGGAGGACACAGAGACATAGATGAAGAAACAAAAGAGAGACAGTTTGCTGGAGGTTGATGGCTTATGTGTATGAATCCCAGCATTTTAGAGGTTAAGATAGAGTTATTGAAAGGTTGAGGCCAGCCAGAAAATGGTGAGTTCCAGGCCAATCATAGTTACAGAGTGTGACCTTGTCTAATAAAGTAAAAAAGGAAAACAGAATGTTGAGACCGATTTGCAGAAATGCATGGGCACCCAGACAGAGACCCAGCAGAGCCTAGGCACCATTTGCATTTATTTTTTCTGACAACTGTGTGCTCAAATTCTTTAGTCCATATATTGACTGGTAATTTTATTTCCTTGGTATTTGATATGTGTGTTTGTGATATTAGACCCTTGACTGATATACTAATGGTAAGGACTTTCTCCCATTCCGCGGGCTGTATGTTCTGCTGACAGTTTCTTTCATCGTGCAGAAATGCTTTGCTCTCATCTTGTCCCATCTGTTGATACTTGGGGCTAATAACTGGGTTATTGGTGTTCTATTCATAAAGCTCTTGTCTACCCCAATGAAGAGCACACTTCATATTTTCACCTAGAAGTTTCAGGGTTTCAGGTTACAAAGTAAATGAATCTTTGACTCATTTGGAAATTATTTTTGTACGGGGCAAAAATTGTGAATCTAATTTTACTCTTCTGCAGGTGGATGTCCAGTTTTGCCATGACCACTGTTGAATAGGCTCTCTCTCTTTTCTTCAATGTATGTTTTTGCCTCCATTATCAAAATTTAGCTGGGCATAGCTTTGTCATTTTATTTCTGGATCCTGTATTCTGTTCTATTGGACTACCTTTTGTGGTTCTGTATGTTTGTTGAGACAGGGACTCCCTCTAGCCCCAGCTGGCCTAGAACTCACTATGTAGACAAGGCTGGCCTCAAACTTACAGCGATCCACCTTCCTTTGCCTCCCAAGTGTTGGGATTGAAGGCATGTGCCACCACACCTGGTTAGGGTAGACGTTCTTAACCACTTCCCTGACTGCTATTTGTCTGGTTTGAGCTTGCGTAGTACATGTGTATGCTGTCATCATTGCTGTGAGTTCATATGATTATCTGACCAGCTATCTGGAAGACTCTGTTTCCTTGTGGACATCCATATCCTCTGGCTCATAGTCTTTCCACCTCTTCTGTAATGATCCCTCAGCCTTGGGAAGCAGAAATTCGAAATAGGTGTCCTCTTCAGGAATAAGCACTCTGTGACAGCTTGTTCTCTGCACACTGTCCAATTGTGGGTTTCTGTGTTAATCGTTATCTACTGTACAAGGAAACTTTTCTGGTGAGAACTGAGAGATGCATTCATCCTATCTGCAGAAGTTGCAATGAAGATATGTCACTTAGTGTTAAGTATCTCTCAGACACTTGTTCTCTGAATTTGATATTTCTGGAACTCTATAATAGTCCCCATCCTGACTAGTCAGGTGCTCTCAGGAAGCCTCAGCAGGATGGGGCCAAGGCCCAAGGAGGGCCAATGAAAGCAGAATGGGTTTTGTTCTTATTAGCTAGCAGGGAAGGCCTGAGCTCTGAATTTGCAAGTATTTTGTTGAGATTTGGAAAAAAATTATTTATTTAATAACCATATAATTAGAAGAAGCATTTCATTTCAACAGCATTGACATATTCAATAACAATTTCCAGAGCTAAAATGCATCTCTTTCAAAATTGGGTGTAAAATTTTAGGTTTAAGGTTCAATTAATACAGTTATACAATATTGTACTCAGTCTATAACCCTATAAAACATAAAATTAAATGAGGTTTTAAACTTTTAAAAATCACCATTTCATTATTAAAATACAGTTTCATACAGAAAAATTCATTTTTAATACAATTGACACTAAGATGCACATACATTTCTAATCTCCATATGGCTTCTGATTATTACTAGTCGCAGTCAGTTACTTTCTGAGCGCCTTGGTATCTGAGCATGGCTATAAAGTCATCAGGTAGATTTCAGTGGTAATGTTTTTCACATTTAATTATTAAGGAGAAAATTTTTATGCTTTGAAGAATTCTTTTCTTTTAAAAATTTATACACCCACTTCCCAGGTAGCACCTTCCCATAGCCTCCCTCCCCCCACTAGAGCCCTTATACTGTGATATTCCTGCTACAGTCTGCTGTGTTGTTGACACCTCCAGCAATTCCCCACTACTTGCCCTTCTGGTGAATCTAGTCAGACTATCTAGAGGTCTTTGTTTTAGGAAGGTCTGCTGTTCCTCATCTAGCGGTAACCAGTTGTCTATATTCCTTTGGATAAGATTGGGGTCTGCTGTTCATTTTCCCAGTTCTGTGCTGGGTTACTATCTGGGAATCCCTTTGGCCACCCTGGCCAACAACTCAAAAGAAGGTATCGCTTGTC